CCGCATGCTGGTAAGGATTAGCACGACTATAAACCCACTCTTTCACTATGATGTCCGGCTGGGGACTGTTGTCGGCCACCTCACCCGCTTCTGTGACACAAATACGAAAATGTAGTAGGATAGCTACTCTCAACAGTTACGGTATAGAGAAACGAAATTCGGACGGGTTGTACCCGTTAGTTTATTTTAATTATTTCTAAAAGGTCACTTTTATAATACATGCAGTTAACAAAACAATTATACTGTGAATTTGCTTCTTATCATCACTAACCTTTCTTTTTGCTGTGTACATAACGAAGGTGGTGTAGATTGAATAGAACAGCGTAGACACGTTGACGTAACGGCCTATAAATCTCGTGGATCGGCGGGAACTCACGATAATTTTCGTCCTCCATGAGACAGGGTAATCGAACTTCCTGGGTGCTCAGGACGTGGAGAATGAGTGGTGCCATCAGACCCTTCTGATGTCGTAACGAAGCCGTTCGCAAAACGTCCAATGATACCGTCGGTTTCACTGGATTCGGATTTACTAAAATAAAAACAAACGAAAATGCACACATTACTATATGCCATGAGTAAAAAAAATAATTGGTCATAATAAACAGTATATTGTTGGTTATGCCTCAATAGAAATTTTAATAATATATAAATTTCTTATTATTATCATCACATAAAACAATTATGATCTACTTCCCTACCGTGGTACGTTACCATCGAAATAGATAACGTCACATGCAAAGGAAGACATTAAAAAATAACGTTTGAAATGGAGTAAAATTGGAAAAAGCAAGAGACCAAAAAATCTAGGAAGTCCATAAGGAAAAAAGTGATAGAATGGTAGGACACCTTACATTAATTTACAGCTTAAATAATTAACTAATTTAAAAGACATACACCGCATTAAAAATATTAATAACTTACCTGATTGTTGTTGTTTCTGTTCCCCATGTTTGGGTGACGTGGGAACACTGCTGGTGTTGGAACTAGTGGAGCTAACTAAGAGATTGATACGGGTGGTGACTGAACTTGCACTGGTCAAGTTGTTGGATGTGGCTGCACTTCCTGCACTGTTGAAGGAAACTTCCGAGTGACCGTTTAGACGCGAATTGTCCGACGACAGAGGCGACGACTCTCCCCCCTTTATCGAATTCAAATCCATCTCCTGCAAACCAACCATTATATCTGACGACATTACTGCGTTTGCAGTCGCCAGCTTATAGTTTTGAAGACTTTCAATCTGTTAAACATAATACAAAAGAATACTTTTAATAAAATTCAGATTTAATTACTTGCACAGTAAAAACATAGTATAATACAACACAGAAGCTTAACTTGATTTAAAAATATCATTTTAACTTGATTTAAAAATATAGTAAGTCTTTATTTTACAAATTACCTCTTGTTCAGTGGTTTCTGAAGCAAACCCTGACGTATCAAATTCGGGCTCGTCGCCTTTCGAAATAGAATTCGAAACGTTGTTAATATTATTATTATTATTCTGATTACCCTTCTTGTTCCCTTTCAAATTATCCTTTCTCCCATTTGCTATAAAAAAGTTAAACACTTTTAATAACAATAAAAACACCATTCATCTCAAAGTAATGTAAACCGCCTTTCTTTAAAAATAACTATTTTTAATTATTTTTATTGCATTGCGATTAATTTATTCTACTTCCAACCACGCCGATACCGTCATCAAACATCCGGTATGGTACTTTTAGGAAGATTTAGGACTAAACAGCAACGATATTTACATTCTCATTACTGAGTAAAAATTTCAAACTTTTGTTTCAAATTAATACATAGAAGACACAGTCTTAGATACAAAACTACAATTTACCCCCTCAAAATATTCCCGTTTTCAATAAAATAAGTAAAAAACATTTACCGGAAGCACTGCAATATTTTAGGAATCCGTTAGCGGTGCCGTTTAGGTAATACTGTACAGATTGTCTAAAAGCGGGAACACGTTTGTCGTCGGCGCTCCCAAATAACTGCACCACCAAGGAATCCATGTTCGAAGGAGGTGAAAGTGTCCTGACAAATTCCGCGATCGACTTCAACCCTGTCTCGCCACTCAACTGAAAGAGAACCCAAAACATTCTTCATATTAAATAGTAAAATTAAATACAAACAGATATGTATATATTTATATATACTCAGAAAAAATAGCGTCTTCAGGAGTAAAAATCAGACCCGAAAGATGATTTTTTTGAATCATCATTAAAAAAAAAATACATTACATTGTAATTTATAACGTTTTTACATTGGAATTGCAAACAGATCAAACTCTAACTAACCTTCGCCTCTTTAGATCCGGTGGCTTCCAATATCTTCCTGTAAATATCTTGCATTTGAACTTCAGGTAGTAAAAAGTTGCCCAAAATTGCTGCCAAAACACAAACCTGTTCTGTAGTAAGTTCCAGAGCTTTTGTAAGCTCCCCAATCATGTATTCCTTAGTCTCAAGTGATCCCTTTAAAAGGAAAATTCAAGGAGAAATAATATCTTTCCATTAAATCAGACAAAATAAGTATTTACTTTATAAGTAAGTTTTAGATGTTCAGAAGAAAAATACCGTGGTGGATCAAAAGCTGCATATTCTGCATTATCAGCCAATAAACCATGAAAACCGTACTCACGACAATACGCTATCACCTCCTGATGATGATCGTCCATTGTACACATCTATTTAAAAATACAACAACATTAACTCAATTTATGAAACACATAATGAGGCACTCAAACAAACACATTTTTAGAAGCCCTTCATCCTCATAGTAAAGATTAAGTAAGAAAATTATAACCTCTCGCAATCAGGGAATAAAATGAAAATTATTTTCATTTCATTTTAATACCTGTTTTTTTAATAACACATCTTGTGTCAGCAAACTTTTGAAGTTAATTTTGTATGGTATTATATTTATATAATAATTAGTATTGTTTGAACACCGATAGAGAAACTAAGGATTAGTCCTTAAACTCCCACCCTGGAATTCAACTTGTTCTTCTTCCTGTTCAATGTTTAATAACATTTAAGGCAGTTATTTAACAACTTATGAACAGGAAGATTGTAAATATAGTGCAGCAATATGTATTAAAAGATTACTAAACTGAAAGGAGTTAAATGGATTAGCAAAACCAACTGATAAAAATTAGACCAAGGTTATACATTTTGTAGCATTTTAAAAAGATTAATCTTTATGACTAATCCTTTTTGTGATAAAAACAATTCTAAAATTTTGGAGTGTACATTAAGATTATTAAATATGTTTTAAGTGGAACCGATGCTTAAATATAAATTGGTCAAGTTTTAATTAGAAGAATGAAGACTTTATAAAAAATTAGTGGAGATTAAATTTGAAATTAATATCATCATTTATGTTTAGCTCTTGTATATCCTCAATAAAATTAATAGCAAATAATTGTACATAAATGCTTGCTTACCACAGCTGCATTTAAATGACGAAGAGCCATGCGCAAGGATGTCCTTAAACAGGTTGGTGGAGTCCACCAAATCTTCGGTGGTGGTGTGCCTTTCATGTTTACATGTTTTAGAACCTTGAAAAGACATTAACTGTATAAGTAAAATAAACAAATTGCAAAATTGCACTATGTCAATGATACTGTTACAAAGCAGTTTAAATGAAATAAGTGATAATACATTATAACCTAACGTGTCTAATATTTGTCAAGCAAAGTAAATAATAAGTAGAATAAATAAATGCTTACTAATCCAACTTTCTGTCTTATATTGGCCTGCTCTGCTGTCCATTCTGAGAAGCGTTGTGGTTCAGATGTTCCATTAAAAACGATTGCTAATTCAATATTTCCTCTTTCTATTGCTTGCATAAGTAATGATAAAAATTGAACCATTCGATTCCACTGGCCACCACAGGCCCAATCTAACAACACACACTTTATTTTAGTAACACCAACACTACCGAAACCACTTGAATCAATGACTTACCAGAGAAGAATCCACCATAAAGTCTATCTAAACAACATTCTGCATCCATGATAAGCTTAAGTTTGTTACCAATAGGCCTAATTTTACGGGTAGGGTACTGGGGTTGTTGACGTTGTGTGACATTTCGGGCTATTTTCAACAAATCAACAGAAACTGCACCCCCTTCTAAATTTGGGCTTTCTAAAAACGCTTGCAAATCTTGGATAACCATTTTAGCAATACGACTTGGAACAAAAAATAAATTTCTTCAGTATGAGCTAAATCTGAAACAATGAACGACCGTTGCCGAAAATCAATTGATTACAATAAAAAGCAAAATACAAGGCAATCGAAAAACCGGTCGCCATCATGGCCACACTAACTAAAACACAATCACCACAAACTAAAAGAGAAACCTTTGAACCAACTGAATTGTCATTCACTTTAAAATACTCGCCGTAATTATATCTAACAAGCGTCCATTACATCTTCGTTGTAATTCTAATTACGGTTAATAAAAAGAAGATCGACGTGACGGACGCTCCCCAGCACGCCTTTTAATACCGGTATCGTCCATGTTAACGATTCTAACGTTCGTAAATATAACGACAACTGATAAGTTTACGTTATTTGATTAACCTTAAGTTTCCATATAATCGTGTTTGTTAAATACTTACAAACCAATTTAAAAACTGCATCTTGAGTATGCACGAACAAAAACTTTACCGGAAGAACTTGAAGACACAACACAACATCGAGCGCATGACGGAAGCTGCTTTTATTTGTTTAATTTTAAATTATACCGCCAACGTTTGTTCCCGCCTCTTTTTAAATTTGTGGGAAAATTAAATACTTACGCAACTTATTCCTATTCTCTCCTTCATAAAAACGTTAACGTTATTACATGACATATTTTTTAAACATTTGAAAAACATCATTTCGATACGTCTACGTACATACGTACCAGTTCACAAATATATCTGACCCCAGTGCATAATATTTATTAATTAAAAATATCTTATTACAATAGCAATATTCAAATCAAATTTCAATAACAAACAATAAGATCTCTTTATTGCAAGTTAAAATTTGTTTCATCAAAATATTAAAACTAAGTTAGTAACAGTGATGGATATTTTGAAACTTAAATATATACTTAAAAGAAAGTTTTTTCACTTTTAGAAATTTGAAAGGGTTATCAGAATGATTAGCATAATCTAGTCTTCTTGAAAATAATATAAACATTATTACTATTATTTAAAAAATAAAAGGAAAGAAATAATTACAATAACAATCGTTCAACTACTTTATACGTGGTAATTGTTTAACAATGATGGTAGCAACAAATATATGCTATATAAATTACTTGTAGGTAAGTAGCTAAAAAATGAATTATTAATGCGATGCAGTAGTCCCACGTCGTATTAGTTATTAATAGTAATCTGGGATAAAAAATGCCCAGTCATTTTGAAAATGACGTCATGGGGATAAATACGAGATAAAGAGTCGTGCAGTAAGCAATTGGCTTAATTTACAGAATAATGAAACAACATTTTATCATTTAGAATGCAGGACCGTTCGCATAAATAGATGTACACCAACTCCGGCGTTCGCAGTGTTAATTGTGGTTTAGTTCTGTAGGTTCTGTATAGTGTATAGTAGTAGATTAATCGCTTTTTAATACCGGTATCAGTATTTATTGAAAGCTATTTTCATATTGCCTTATATGTAATAAGGGAAAAGTTCGCAGGCGAGCCCTTTCCACAATTTATTTTGAAAATTTTTTAGGTAAGTATTGTACTTTAAGTGCATGTTAATTGTCAGCATTTAATTTATAGCTCCTCATATATTAAACTTGATATTTAAATAGAAATTTAGCATTATATTGATTTTTTTGTGAGCATATGGCTTATATATTTAATTAAATTAAGCAATTCAATTAATGGAAGCTTTTATTTAATCTTGCCATTAATATATGTTTTTATTAAAAAATATACTTTTAAACCTTTTTTTATTTTTTTTTAAGTTATGAATGATGCAATTTGACTGGTTCAGTTACATATCTTTGGCTTGTGACGTCAGTTGTAAAAAACCCAGCATACAATAAAAATAAAGTTGCGCT